GTCTTTTGCAGCAACTTGGATGGAGCTGGAAAAGATCATGCTTAGTGAGATAAGCCAGAAAGAGAAAGAAAAATACCGGATGGTGTCACTCATAGCAGGAGTATAATGGACCAGGCAAGAAAATAACAAAAATAATGAACAACCATATACCAGAGACATTCTGTGGGGGCGGAGTGGGGAATGGGATCAAAAACGGGGGTGGGGGGGAAGGGAGGGAATTGCACGGGACTAGGGTGGTGGCACAGGGGTGATTTGGTGATGGGAAACCCGTGGGGATTACAATCGAGATGGAAAAAAAAATGTGCAAAATGATGTAAAAATAAACTTTGTAATAAAAAAAAATTAAAAAAAAAAAACATAAAAGAAACATGCCCCTTATGATCTACAGGGCAATGCAGCGACCATAAAAGATCGAAATAATAGGCCCTCCCTGGTGGCGCCAAGGGTTGAAGCGCAGCACTATGAAGCTGTCTGCAGACGCTGCAGCACGAGTTTAATCCCCGCCAGGGAGGGACCCCCAGGGCGCAGCAGGCTCCTCCTGTCTCCCCGCTGCTCCCCTCAGCAGTGGGCTTCAGTCCATCTGCCTGTTCTGCTCCCCGCTCTGTCTCTGGTGAATCCTCTCACCCCCTGCACCTCTGGCCTGTACCCCAGTTCATAAGCATAAATAAATAAACTTTAAAAAATGAATTAATAAAGTATGGGGTTCAGAAAAAGGGAATGACCGTGTAAGTTAGATGAGTGAGGTCACCCTGAAGCAGAGACCAGTGGCTGCGGCTGGAATCTGCTGCCCTCTTGCGGCCGCTCTGGCTCAGCGGTCACCGGCCGGAGGGGCCCGGAGGGGAAGGCCCAGGGAGCAGGGGAGGCCGGTCAGGACCGCAGGCTTTCTCCCATCTTCCTGGTCTCCCTTTACACGCAAACAAATTACTGAGATTTTTGTCTGGGCCGTCAATTCTGTCCTCGTTCAAAGTCACAGCTTAGATATAAAAAAATAACGACGTACTTAAAGCATCAAAGCGCCCCTGGTCAGTTCTTGGCCTCTGAACCTTGGGCCACCCATCCCTTATCAGTGTCCACAAACACTACCTACACCTGAGCCTGAGAAGACCTCACCGATTTACACGCCAGCAGCTCACACCAAGGGCGCGCAGCTGATGTTCATACGGGCACTCACTTCGCGGGGGGACGCTGGAGTCCACGTCAGAGTGAAAAGGCAGAAGTGACCTCTTCTTGCGAGCTCTTCACTTCCTGTGCTCAGCTGAGCACTAACCCTGACCCCGCGGGGCTGGGGCAGCCGCCTGCCCACCACGCCCAGGCGCCCCAGCTCTGGGCTCCCGGAGGACGTTTGCATTAGGGGCCGCAGGTGAAGCCCCTACTTTTCCCTAAGTTCAAAAACAGCGGGGTCTGAGGCGTAAGACTCAAGGTGGAGAGCGGCGTTCCCCCGGGGCCGCAGACCGGCCTCAGTTTCCCTCCGCCAATACAGGCAACAGTTGGAGGGGCAGGAAAGCGGTATCGGTTGTGGGTGCGCCGAGGCCGCAGGCTGGAGTCCGGAAGGCGGTCCTGCTCGGGCAGGCGCGGCGGAATCTGCACAGGGGTGAAGCCCGAGGGAGCAGGGCGGTGAGGAAGGCTGGGCAGGGACCGCGTGGCACCGCCTGCTCCGTGAACACCTGCTGCTTGACCCGGCTTCTCAGGGGCGCCTCCCTTTCCTTAGAGTGCAAGACGCGTGGTAAATGCACGGGACAGCGACGCTTGCCTGGCGGGTTCCCACAGGTCTTCGACTCTCCTCTAGGCCGGGAAGAGGGCAGTGTGCCACAAGACGTGTGCCCGGGGCCAGGGAGAGGCCGCCTCCGTCTGCCCTCGTCCCTTCACGGGCTCTCCGTGAGCAGGGGGAGACGCCTGGATGACGGGGGACGTGGCCCCTCCAGCCTGGGTTCAGGGGAGCCCCTCCTGCCTGCGACCCCGGCCAGAGGCTCCCGGATGTCCTTCTCCTGCCAGGGCACAGAGCACAGGCCTTGCCGCGTCCCTCAGACGACAAGAAGCCAGCAGAGGGCTACGGAGGGGTGCTGGAGGGTCCCCTCGTTGGGACGGGGGTGCGGTGTGAACCCTAAGGTGAGAGAGCATCTCACTGAAAACGAAAGTCGAGTAACAGTGCACATGACTTGCTCAGAGGTTTGGGGGCTCTTGGGGTGCGCTTACCTGGGGTGCGGCTGTGGGCGGCCCTCCGCTTACCGGCCGGTCTCCTCGCACTGGGCCCCTGCAGGTGCGCACGAACCTGCCTACGAAGGTCAGCGTCTGCTCTTGTCGCCGCTTTCCGGGGAGCCCAGCCAGGGCCTCAAGGTCCTTCCAGGGCGCCCCATTCTCTCCTCACCCCGCACACCTCCCGAGGCCCCTACAGCCTCTTTACCCTTTTCCTCGCTTGCTCACACTTCCTCCCCACCATCACCAACGCGCTGCAGAAGCCCACGCGTCCCCCCTCTCCCGAGTAGCTGAGACAGGGGCAGGTCCAGGCCCTCACTGCACCGGGCCCGCACACCCCCACCCCGACCCCGACCCGGGTGGTACAAGGGCCCAGGGCCCCAGCTCGCGGCCACTCTGGCCGCCAGTCCACCACCATCGCCGTATTTCACCCTCAGGGCGTCAGCCTGTCTGGGTCCGCAGCGGTCACCTGCACGCCCAGGCCCCCCCGGGGGGGGGCTTGAGGTGCCACTGTGGACCTCGCTTTTCCGTATGGTTTTGGTAACTTAGTCCTTAACTTCTAAGATGTATGTATCTATGCACACAGAGCTGGGCACGAGGCCAGAGGCTTCCGCAGAGACCGTGGAGAGCGGAACAGGCGGGTCAGGAGAGGTCTGCCGCGCCCTGGGTCACCCCCTCAGCCGCTGGCCACCGTGAGGGCGAGTCCTTAACTCTTGCTTTCGTAACTGAGGGCTGCTGGGGGCCTCAGCCGTGCGCCGGAGGTGAGGCCTGGCCCTGCCCGCCGGGTGCCACACGGGGCCTCACGCCAGGGCCCTGGTTGGTGGAGGCTGTGTGGTGGGTGGCGCCTAACACCACGGCAGTGCTGCCACCTTCTCTAGACCTGGCGTGGCCTCTCGTGGGAGCCTCTAGACAGACGCGGGGAGGGTCTCAGAAAGCCTGACGGGGCTGGAGGCCATTTAAGCCCGACATCAGGCCCTTGCCAAGTCTCTCTCGCAGGCCGCACCCCGCACCCCGCCTTCCTGCGGAACGCGCTCTCCCAGCTCTTCCACCAGCCCCGGCCTCCGCGTCCAGCCCCGGCCGGGCGCCCCGACCCGGCGAGCCAGCCATGAGGAGGGTCCCGCCGCCTGGCTCGGTGCTGGCCGTGGAAATGCGCCTGCAAGGCCGGCGTTCTGCTCTGCTCTGCTCTGCGTGAGCACAAGGCGACCCTCCCTCACTCCCCGCCCTGAGCGCCTGCGGGCAGCCACCAGGCTCAGCCCCCCGCCGTGCGGTCAGCCAGCGTGCGGCCGCTGCGGAAGCCCTGTGGGGCCTGTGGGCAGGCTGGAGACCTGTGAGTGGCTGAAGGAAGAGTGAAGGCCCCACTGACGCACCCCAGCGAGCAGGGGCTCACCCCACGGCCGGGAGAGGGCCCAGCGCCTCCACCCGGGAGCTGGGAGCTTCGGCTCCGGCTGCAGAGGCGGCCGCGAAGCCGCTGCCTCGCGCGGGTCCTCCCTGCCCCAGCCCGGCCCGGCTGAGATGCGGGCGGCGCCCCGACAGACCACCGCACCAGCGCCCCGGGATTCGTCTGTTTATTGACAGAAAGATCAAAAAGGACTCCGTTTCTAAAGGCAACAGAACAATGGCGCCGTCCACACGAAGCTGGGGCGTCCGCGCAGAGAACCGGCCTCGCGGCCAGCCCGCCCGGCCCTCGG